CGGAAGAGAAGAAAGATTTATCACCCTTAAGCCACATGAAATGCATCCCAAGCCCTAGAGATCCTTGTGGGTGAGAAGAACTGCCAGACGATTGTGTCCAGGGCTTGTTTCACACCCATTTGTCTGCCACACCTTGGCCTATAGTCCAAAACATTTAGATTTGAAATGTTATTGCTCATAAACTTTTGCTAAATATGTTCATCCTAATTAAGATTGTAGATAACTGAACTGTTGTGCTGTGGGCATGTTCCAGGTGTGCAGTGTATTAGAGAGCTTGGAGCAAGAATACAGACGGGATGAAGACTGGTGTGGAGGTCGAGATAAACTTGGACCAGCAGCTGAGATAGACCACGTCATCCCTCTGATCAGCAAACATCTGGAACAGAAGGAGGCTTTTCTCAAGGTTTCATTTGCATTCTCTAATAAATCAGATAAATTCCCCATTAAGTAGTCAATTCAGAGCAGTGTTGGTGAATCTGAGAGGAGGCCCTGAGGTGTAATTCCAGTTCAGCTACTGTTATATTAGGGGTAATAAACATTATAATCAACACATACCTCAGAGAGATTTCATCAAGGACTAATTAGGTGGTATTTGCATTTTACATGGAGTATGTTAGTTGTGCTGGTCCAAATTTCAAATTTTCAAAATTGCAAATGATGAGCATTAGAAATTACAAGTATTGCAGCATTTTGGTTTTGGCTTATACAAACCATCTAGCATTTCTAATTCTGTCCTCCAAGTCAGTAACTGAAGAACTCCTGTCAAATGAAGCAGTTGTGTCTCTGCAGGGCAGCACCAGGATGGAGACAGAGATTTACTCCTGCCTTCCAGGTGCTGCTTTGTGAGAACTGTGGAGCTGACAGGCTGACAAGTCAATCAACAACCAGCCTCCCACTTTCCACTAAAACTGATACACAACAGGAAACTACACTTGCAGGGAAGGCTTAAGAAATTACGTCTCTAGATTGTACATTTTTTTGAAACAATGAAAACATCTTGAGAAATGAGTTAGCTTTGTTTAGATTGAAAATGTGTGATCTAATAGCTTTTTTATTATTGTCATTAATTGGCCTTAATATATAAAATCACCCACTATATTAAAAATTACTTGTATTTTAGTACATGTATGAGGCTTTTAATTTATTAGTGGAGTTTAGTGACTCTTAGCTGAACCTCTCATGCTTCTATACAAAAGAGAACTTCTCTATCCAGAGTAAGTAGAGAACTCCCTAGAGTTCCCTTTGGTTTCTTTGTTCACCTTTACTGATTCTTTTTGGTGGGGGTTATTTTTCCTAGGCCTGCACGCTGGCACGAAGGAATGCTGAGGTGTTCCTCAAGTACATCCACAGAAACAATGTCAGCATGCCTGGAGTAGCAAGCCACACAAGGGGCCCTGAGCAGCAAGTGAAAGGTTGGTGCACGGGTGCAATGCCAGCATTGGAGGTTTTTATTGCTTCCCCCTCTACTGTGTGGTCATCCTAAAATTTGTGAACATGCTGAAAAGGCATCTGAGGTTTTGCCATCTGCTTTCATTCAAATTATACATCTGCCTGACACCTTTAGCAGTGGTAAGTGAGGCCCCTCAGAAAGTGATGCCACCTCTGCTAGGCATGAGTTCTTATACAGAACTTCACTGCTGCGGGTGTTGATGGGGGAAAAAAGAAAAGTGGCTTGAAATGTGGGCTCTGTCTGGCTTCTTCTGTCAGGATAGTCCATGGGAATGACACTGTGCCATCCCCCCTCATATAGGTTTTCAGCTGAGATGATCAGACACTATTTTGCCTTAATATCTAAAAATGCACGAACAGGTATGCACATATAAAAGATAAGGTCTAGATGCCATCCTGTTGCTGTTGAGCACTGGAAAACAATGAACCCCAAACTTGTTTTTTCCTAGGACAAAACTGCTCAATTTTTTTGTCCCTGGAATCCTGTTTGATGTCCTACCACATCAGACAATCACCAGCAAAAGTATCTGTAGTTACTTTCCTTTAAGTCAAAAGAGCCCCGTTTACAATCAGATGATACATCTGAGATGTTTGAAATGTTTCCAGTCCTCTGCTTAATTAAACACTTGTTAATCTGTGCCTAGCAATGCTGCAAGGTACTGATAAGAATGAGCAAAGTGATTTTGGGGAACTAAAACAATTTTTGTTATTATTATTTTTTGTATTCTTATAAGCTGCAGGAAGATAGAGATTAAAGGCAGTGCAGTCAGTATATATGAGGAAGGGATGGGAACTTTGATTATACACAGAAGAAAAAAATGGTGCTGCTGAAGAGATTCTTTTCCTTCCATGCAATACCAGTTCTTCAATGTTAACATGACTTTGTTTAACTTTCCCCCACTACTGTGTCAAATGCTTGTTGTTGTTGTGGACTTTTGTTCCCACAGTTGAAAATCACTGGAAAGTTAATTAAATCCTAACTCAGCAAGCCCTTCACTATGCACCTGGTAGAAGTTTGTGAGGGTTCCTCACTGAGCTGGTTTGAAATAGCTCACATGTGTAAAAATCAGCTTGTATATTAGTCTGTTTTCTAAGCCAAGCATGTAATGCTAAGATTGCCGAGTCTTTCCATGGAAAATCTTTGAAGTGGACACTTCAGTTCAGACTAAAAGCATCATTTAGTAGGATAGTTATTTGTGCTTTCAGTGCAAAAGCATTAACACAAAATAAAATTAGTCTTATTTAGCATAAACTGTTTATGCAGAGACCTGATGTAGAGCACCTGTGAGAAGCTTCAAGTTCATTCTGTCATTCAGACCAAGTTCCCTCAGCAGAGACAGGGCTAGGTCTTGCAATTTACTTAGATATTACAAAGTTTTTGACCATAATCAGTGTCACACTTGTAAATGAGGAGAGACACATCCAAACCTGTTTGCTGCCACCAGTGTTGATACCTAAGCAACAAATATCAGTAGATTCAGAAAGAGCTTAAGATGTGAGAGGTTATTAACTGCTGTTGTAAATGGTTGTAAGTCGCTGTAAGTGATTGAGAAGCCAGATTCCAAGTTTTAATGAAGTGTGGCTGCTGCCCGGGCTGCGTGTGCCCAAACCCCCTCTAGTGGATGCTCTGCTGTGGGTTCAGGGCAGGAGGGCTGCCAGGTGAGGCACCAGCCTGAGCTCCGTACCGTGATTTGCCGGGGATGAGCCAGCTGCTGCCAGCTGTGCACGGCTTAGTTTAATTAGAAAAGGTCGGGTTTAGCTAAGGTTTATGCCAGCTACATAGTGTAAATCTCTTGCACCCTCTCTGCATGTAATCTTTTCAGTCCAACCCATGGTACTTTTTATATTAAAAGAGTCAAATCACACTCTTTTATCAAATTGATACAATCTGGCTGAGCACCCAGGTTTTGAGGGAGAACATGGGCATCCTAAACTCCAAGGAGTAGCAGGTTTTCTGCCAGTCTCTTCCTGAATCTGGGTGTTTCTTATATCCCTGTCACACACAAAACAGTTTAGAGGACCAATTTCAGACCTGAACCCAAAACTGTAGCCCAGCAATAACTGCACAGGGAGCAGCACAGAGAGTTGCCAGGTAGCACAGCTGTATAAGAAATCTCACCAGGTATGTCACACTGGGGGCTCAGGTCTGAATTTAATTCAGCCATGACCAGAGCTCTGCAGGGGACAGCAGGCTTTGGTGCCAAGTGCTTGGTGCCTGTGGCCAGAGCAACAGACAAGGTGGTAAAAGGGCAATTTCTCCTATGTCAACCAGTATTAGATTCCTGAAATAAGCAACAGAAGAGAATGAAACCGCTAGAAATCATGTACCCTCATGTATTTACTGGGGTAAATCCCAAACTGTCTTCTCTGTTACCTAGTAACACTGCAGCTGCACTTTTTTGTTGTTGTTGTTGTTTGTTTGTTTGTTTGGGCTTTTTTAAAGCAGCCCTTTTGAATCAATGCTTGTTTTTAAGAAGTAGCATCTCAGGGGCTAAAAATCTTCTTTACTGTGAGAGTGACAGAGCACTGGAACAGGCTGACCAGAGAGGTTGTGGAGTCTCCTTCTCTGGAGACATTCCAAACCTGCCTGGACATGTTCCTGTGTGATGTGCTCTAGGTGACCCTGCTCTGGCAGGGGGGTTGGACTAGATGATCTTTCGAGGTCCCTTCCAACCCCTAGGATTCTATGATTCTGCGAGGGGCTCTGCTCTTGGGAGTGCCATCCAGGCAGAGTGAATAAATTCAGCTTTGTATGGCTTATTTCTGTATGCACTCACAGAATCATTAATCATGCAGACGTTTTCCTTTGCCCTACAGCCATTCTGAGTGAGCTGCTGCAGAGGGAGAACCGGGTCCTTCACTTCTGGACCCTGAAGAAGCGGAGATTAGACCAGTGCCAACAATACGTTGTCTTTGAGCGCAGTGCCAAGCAGGTAGTGTGAAAACCCTGCTTCTGTCCTGGCAGTCTGTAAATATTTCTTATATCTGTGTTTCGTGGGGTTCCTGTTGCAATCTCAAGTTGCATTAAAAAACTGTAGTGTTTGAAAACATGTCCAATGTAGATTTAAAAACAATTCCAGAAAATTCCAAAGCCCTACGACAAAAACTCAGTGTTTTTGCCAGGTCAGATTAATTTCTAGATTTGATAATTTGTTTGGAAATATAAGAGCAAACTTGTTTTATTGAGCTATTACTGAATTTGAAAACTGCTTTCCCTGCATGCAGATTTATCTGTATATTGGTAGAATTCCCTTCATTCTTTTTTATCCTAGGAAACATACAGAACTTTTTCTATCCTCTCCCACCTGCTCTGATTGCTGTATTCTTTTTATGTGTTCCTAGAAAGTGTTTTAGTATACACAGTATTAAGTCCCAATGGATTTGATGTCCTTTATTTGGCAGATTATTTTTTTTGTTAGAGGATTAATTCTTGAAATAAAAAGACTTTTTTTGTTGTTTTCGTTTTGTTGTTTTTGACATCCACAGGCCTTAGACTGGATCCAAGAAACAGGTGAATATTACCTCTCTACTCACAACTCCACAGGGGAATCAGCAGAAGAAACTCAGGAACTCCTGAAGGAATATGGGGAATTCAGAGTACCTGCCAAGGTAAACAGTGACTTTAATCTAATTACAGTATATACCTTCATTTATGATCCTGTTTCAATATCTTAAATCTCTGTCAGAGTTTTCTCTTGATTTTGTATTTTCCTCCTGACATTCATAGCCCAGAAGATAAATGTCCTTTGAGAACTGTGATCTTTCATTTTTAGCAAGACACAGGCACAAAAGGGAGGTATTCTCCTCCTTGATCTGTGTTGGTAATAGATCACTTTTGTTTTGATCAGAAGAAAGAGAAAGTCTATTTGCATGCAGAGTTCACAGCAACATAGTAAGACATACCTTGATTCCATCCTCAAACAATCATACAAGAATGGTATAGAGTAACTAATGGATCTGAACATAGACAGTGTCATCTTGAATTCCCTGTCTCTTTCTTCTGTCATTGCAACCACAATTTCTTTTATTAATTCCATCTGGGTTGATCACAGATAATCATTTATATAATTAGAAATAATCTGCTGATCCCAGCAAAATACTTTAAATAAATGGGTTTGTAAACTCCAGGGTGAACATTTCAATACAAAGCTGCATTACCAAGAATCTATAAATTTATATGGAACAGTTCTGGGAAATCTGGTGGGGTTTACAGAGGAATTGTGATTGGATCTGCTTCAGAGAAATTAATTGAAACCATAGGTAATTCACAGACAGTGAATCCACAGGGGTAATAACAGTCACTGACAAGGATCTAAATTGCAAAGTCAGACTGCAGCAAGACCACAGCTTGGTATTATGTAGCTTCATTTCAGTGTGTCCTAAAATTGATCTTCTGTAATCCTTAAATTCTTCATTAGACTGTCCATACTTGCATGGGTTTGTTTTGTGAAAACAGGAGATAACTAAGAATGGATGGAAGTTAATTTAATAAGACAGCATCCATCCAGCATTCCTTTAACAGTACTCCTGGCCTCTCACCATCCATAATCAGTCCACCTGAAATCCACCTGTTCCAGTTTATAATTTAATTTTAATCAGATTAATCCTGATTCATCCTGAAGTTTCCAAACTACTTCTACTCTTGACTTAACCCAGGATCGAGTTTAATAGCTTGTTCCTTATTGATCGTTACTGGCTGTTCCTTACACTGTTGCACCTAGTCTTGCTCCCTAGGGCTCTACTAAATCAGTTTCCTGCTGCTGTCCTGGAATATTTTCACTGCTATATGGAATCTGGGAAATGCATGTCACTCCCAGACCGATGCCATTCTCAAACTGAGCTGTAAATGAAAGCCTTCCTGATCAAAATAGTTTTCTAGCCAAACCAATTGTCTGGAATGCAGAAACACCAATAGCTTGGGAATTAAATAGGAAGTCAGATTTTTTACTTCTCCATATCTAGCCTTACTTTAGTAGTCAATTAATTTGTTACAATAACCCCTGGTTCTGCTGTAAATTTATTTTGTTGGGGGAATCTCTTGAATTTAGATGTGTGTTTGAAATCTGCTAGGTGTTTTCTGGTCTGATATGGGTTTGTCCATTTGTGGTCAGGCTGCTGATAATATCAAGTACCTGGTAGGATGTCTCACATCAAGCAGAGTGGAAAGTTGCCCTCATCTCTGGAAAGCAGCTTGCCAGTACCTCTGGAAATATAACTGATTCTCCTTTTGCTTTTGAGGATTAACATGTGTTTTACAGCTGGAGTACAGCTTGTACAGTTGATATCCCAGTTTTTATTAGCATTTTGTACTTGAGTTGGCTCAAATAGGGTTCAGGCACCTTCAGTTCCTAGGATAGGTTTGGAATCTTAGCTACAATTTATAACTAGCTCTTTTGTTCCAGATTTGCACAGAGTTCCTCAACATGGGAAACCATAGTGACTAAGGGCAGTAAGAGTCCAAGTGGAACAGAGGAGACCTCTGGAATGTTTGAGGTCTCAGTGTGTGTTTTGGAGTTGAGATATCTTTTAGTTTGTAGTACCCTTACTAGAACTAAAATATGGATGGGAGATTTTCATAGACCAGAAACTTGGATCTAAATTCTGTTTGTTTCTGAAACAGTAGTAGTGAGTCAATTCCTGAACTCATATGTGTTGTATTAGTGACCTGACTACACAGGTCTGCAGAACCACCTAGGTATAGATTCAGAGTAGTTTTGTGTATTTTGTGAGATGTGACTCTAAAATCCTGTCTTCTAATTCAAGGCTTACAAAAAAAATAAGTTTTTTGTTATGAAAAGGAGTCATGTCTGAGTTCCAGGATGTTTTCCATATGTGTTTGTGTGTGTGTGGTTTCAGAAATTTGACTTCTTCTATCTCCTGCAGCTTCATAAGTGTCCTTATATAAATGTCATTGCTTTCATGTTTTACTGGGCAAAGTTTAAAGCATCTGACACTGTATAAGATGAAGTACAGGCACTCTTTAATGATGTATTAAAAATTGTGAGCTGCTTCTGACTGCTGTGTGAATTAAAAGCAAAGGAAATAATAATAATGCAATGTAACCAAGAACCATATTTTGGGCAGCAAACAAAGGAAAAAGTGAAGCTCCTCATCCAGCTGGCTGACAGCTTTGTAGAAAAAGGACATATACACGCCACTGAAATTAGGAAGTGGGTCACCACTGTTGACAAACGCTACCGTGACTTCTCTCTCAGGATGGGAAAATACCGCTACTCCTTGGAAAAAGCCCTTGGGATCAATACAGAGGTACTGTAAGTCCATGTCCTTCTGGGGTTTTATAGCAAAGCTGAAAGTCACAAAGGGAAGTGAAGGCTTTGTTATGAATGCTGCAGGTTATCGTGTATCCATTATAAACACTTAGAGCCCATCCAACCTGCCTAGTCAAGCTCACAACTGTTTTCTGAAGAGAAAAAGTTCTTCTGGGGGTGGGCGGGTGATATGAGGAGACAAATGAAGATCAGAAAGACTTTCTAAACAAATGTTTGCACCATTCGCAGGAGACCATGCAGCTACTGGGAAGGAGGAGGAACTACCCTATTTGAATCAAAGTCTGTGTTAATTTTAGCATGAGCCATAAATCCTGCACCCACACCATTATTTTGAGTCAGACTCAGGGTTTAACTGGAAGTTTCCATTCTCTCATCCTTTAACTAACCAAAAAATGGATCTCTAACCTCATCTCTGAGCTCTTTCAGGTGAAATAGAGCAACACAAGAGAAACAAAAATTAGAACCTACAGCTATTCCCTGGCCATAATACTAAGGGGGAGTGCCAGAAGCAGAAACCCTTAAAAACATTGTGATCAACCATCCTTCTAAATTAAGTACCAAAGAAAGAGGAATAAATTACCTCACTTACATCCTCCAGATACCTTAAATGTAGTGTTCCTTGTAGGGTTTCTGGTTTACAGAAAGTTACTAACCACAGTCTGGAAAGGTATTTCCATGGCAGAAGGCCATTGCAAGTTGGGATACTTTTCACCTTAGCCCTTTTCACTGTACTTCTTCTAAATGTCTTTGAATTTTCTTTTTTGTGACGTTACTTTTGTCCCTTCTTATCCATTTGATCTCGTGAATATGCTGCATTCTTGCACAAAAGTGAGGGTTACAATGAATTTAAAATCTGTGCTGTCACTTTTTCTAGGATAACAAGGACCTAGAACTAGATATTATTCCAGCAAGTCTTTCAGACCGGGAGGTAAAGCTGCGAGATGCAAATCATGAAGTCAATGAAGAAAAAAGAAAGTCGGCCAGAAAGAAAGAGTATGTCCTCAAGTGCTCACAGTCTGCCATGACACATTATCTAAGAGTGCTTCTATGATATTTGCATGACCAGAAATGACAGCCCTATAACTCCTTCCAGCTGTGGAGCTATTGTGATAAGTGTACAGGCGTAGGACAGAAGCTGTGACTTGTAGGCTTGACAATTTCAGAATATACAGGTTGAATTTCATTTGGTTTTAATCAGAAGTTGCCTTTGGAAAGGGAATGGACTGAGTCAAGCACTTTGATTAGACCCTGATGTCATGGAGACATCTCTTGTCATGATTTCTTTCTCGCTGTTTGTGAAAAGTAAAATGAACAGAAAAAAATAAAAAGACTCTTTTTATGTCTAGGTTTCATCTAAACTCCAGTGACATCAAGAGGAATTAACTGGGTTTCAGTGACATGAGTTCACTTGAAGTTTATGTTCAAATTTCAGTGGGTGTAGGACTGAGAACTGGAACTATTTTGTACTAGAGAAAATACTTGGAGAGTGCTTGTTGCACTTAAATCTAGAAACAGTCTAATTTTACAGTATTTTGTCTTAAAGTTTTGTGTGAAAATATTCTGGAAAACATTTGTATGTGCAATCTTTCTCAGCCCTCTGAAATTGTCACTACATGACCTTGATATGAAACTATTTCTGTTTGAGAGAACAGTGGTTACACCTGGTCTGCCTGTGTCACATTTTCAAAACACTGGGCATTTCAACTTGGAGATGCCCAGCCCCAGACACTACAGTTGCTGGGCTTCCCAGTAGTCTGAATTTTCTCTAGTTCGATAGCAAGCTGTTGAAGCCTGTTCAAAGTAGTGATGTCTCCCACATCCATCCGTATTGCCAGGAAAGTTTCGGGTGACACACACAAAACTATTAGTGAAGATGGAAGTATTGTCTGTAAATCTCAAGTCCTTGTTCGTGGGTAAAAGAAAAATATCTATAAATCAGTTGGCTGTTAAGGATGGACACGTAGGTAGTAAATTGCATCTCAAGGTTGTAGAAGTACAACTTTGTAGAATTTTAGGCAGAAAAGATATTTAGGAAATAGACCTACAAGGGACTAGAGTATGAAGTGGTATTTCATTCATGGAGCTGAAAGATGCAAAGTGAGGCAGCTGAAGGCTAAGAGTGGAAGTGTGCTGATTCCTGAAGATAACAGAAAGCTGTTTTGTTTTCTGTTCATTGTACAAATGCCTATAACGTCCTAAATACCTGAAATACTAACTTTTTCAGATTCATTATGGCTGAACTGCTTCAGACAGAAAAGGCTTATGTCAGGGACCTACATGAATGTTTAGAGGTAAGTTATAGCCTGGGAAGTCTCCAGCATGTTCAGAAAGGCCATCGTGTCCTTTGCCATGGTGATGTTTGCTGCAAAGGCTGACCTTGACTTGGCAGGTCTAAGTGAGGGCACCACCACTGGTGGGTAGCCACGGAGCTGTGTCTTGCTCATGGTGGGAGCTGGGTGGGCAGCAAGAAAGAGCTTGTTTCCCACAGCCAGTGCTCTGTGATCCCCATGCATGTCTTCAAGAATCTGCACTTCCTGGGACACCTGCGTGTGCCTTTATTTACAAAGCTGCACCAAGCCCTGCAAAGTGATAGTGATGTCCTGCACGCTGACTTCAAATGTGTTGGTTTCTAGTCTTTTTTTTTAATTGTGCCGCATTTAAAGAAATCAAATCTATTTGTTTGGATTGTTTCAAGCTAGAGAAAGAGCTGGATTTGCAATGTCAAATACCTTCCCTAGCTCTCCAGCAGGGTGTTCCTAAAGGGGACTGTGATATTCAGGGCAAAAAGCAGAGTGCATTTCAGTGCAATCTGTCAGCTTTCACATTCCTGCAGTGTAAAAGAGAATTTGATGTATCTATTGCTACTGAAGTGGCAAATCCAGCTTATCTCTCAACTGTTTCTGTCTGTAGTTTTTGGACACTGTCAGTTGCACAACAAAGACAGGTGTTATTGGCATGTTTCTGCTTTTCCCTCAGATAACTTGAGTGTCAGCACTTTGAATTTCTCTGGAGAGTTTTCTGTGACACTGGAATATTATTAGATTTTTTTTAACTTGTTTGTTTAATCTCCAAGTACATAGCTCCCTTGTCAGCCTGTGCCTTTGGAGATCTATTCTTTTTCACTGTGTTTCTTCACAAAACTAAGAATTGCTGGTGTCTTCCAGACTTACCTTTGGGAAATGACAAGTGGAGTGGAAGAAATACCTGCTGGGATCCTTAATAAAGAACACATCATCTTTGGCAATATTCAGGAGATATATGACTTTCATAACAAGTAGGTTTTCCTAACAGTTCTGTTAACATTTACTATGGGAATGAAAGGCATGTGTATACCTGTACATCTCTATGGTGTCTGCAGTGAACACCTATGGAACAAAACTCCCAGGAGTATGAAGTGATTGATCCAGATGTGCAAAATCATTTTTTATGTCTTGTTTTGTTTCTTCCACAAAACAAAATTGCATCCTAGTTTGAACCCCACATACAGCTCATTAACAATGTTAAAGTCATATTATTCCAGTGCTTTGTAGTCCTATACATCCTTTCTATCTCACAGCACTGGATCTGTCTGGAAGCTTGCCTGTCAAGAGTCTCAACTCTTGGAAAACACAAGGGGAAGAAGGAATGGTTGACATGAGCTGAGTTAATAAGTATCTTTCGTGCCACTTCTTGGAGAGTCTCTGTATCTGATCTGTAATAACAGTACTCTCTTTTATCAAGATAAGACTGTCTGTCAGATTAACTTAGAGGGCATTGTTTTCCTGCTATTATGTCAATGCAATAGCAGCTATAAACTTAACATTTAGGGGTGCTGAATCCCACAAGTTCAGTCTGAATTTCTAAGTCTGTCTTGAAGATACTCATCAAAACTAAAGCAGTTTGAAAAACAAATGAGAAAAGCCTTCCCTATTAAAGTTCAAGGAGACTTTCATTGCTTCAGCCAGTTAAGTGCACCATCACATACACATAAATATGGTGCAGCAGATGCTGCTATATGTATGCTTTTGAGGAAGAAGCTTCAAAACATAGCAAGATAGTAGATTCAAGCTACATTTCACATTAAAAGGCCTTTAAGCACTAGATTAATTGACTTCCAGCCCTTAATAATTGCCCTGTCATATGGGCAAATATTCTTCTCCCATCTGAAACTATGCTAGGATCACCCAGTTGCCTTCCCTTCTCTTTGTGGTGCTATATATTATTTTGTGTGACTCTGACTGATACCATCTAACTCCTCTTCTTTATCATGTTCCTTTGGTCCCAGCTAACACCCCTTCAACCTGCTTCAAAAACCACAATCAGGAGGTGAATGTGGGGCTCCCTCAGCAGCAGCTGCTGCTGCTGAGCAGGCGGGGAGGCCTCGCGGGCCTGTCGCCTCACCTGAGCTCACCTCTCAGCTCCCTGCTGCTCTCATTTGTGCTTTCTCTGACCCATCCCAGCCTGGTGCTTCTGTAAAAATCCTTTCCCACTAAAACTTCTACCAACGCTAAAATAAATGGCTCCCTCCTTGCCTCCACCAGTGTCCTCCACAACGTTCTCCTTTGGCTGATGGTGTCAAGACGTGCCCTGACCTAATTCAGGGTTGGAGAAACAGCACATTCAGTTTCTTTTCCTCCTTCTCCTTCTGTTTTGCATTCCTCTTTCCATGCAGGCATTGGTCAGAGCTCTATCTGCAAACAGATCTGTCACTCCTAGCACAAGGTGTTGATTACAAAATCCCTATTTTGGGAGTCCACTGCTTATTTAGGAAGCATCAAGCTCATTTAAATTGTTGTCATTGGCCCAGTGTGCTGAGTTTGGTGATGAAAAGCTCTCAGCTTTGGGCTTCTCTTTTAGCCATTCCTCTGAACCACAGCACAAGATTTTTCTGAAGATTCACAACCTGGGTCTTGAATATCACTTTGCAGTCTTGAATACACTAACCCCCCTACTAGGGATTGCTACAGTTTCCTTTCTAGTTGAGTCAGGCATAACTGAGCTCAAAAACCAACATACCTTGGCAAGGACACACTTTTTCCACTGGCATTGATTAGCCTTGTCATTGAGATACAAGTATTGATCATTAGCACTGATTAACCCACTGGTCATTCTGGTTCTCTTGGATATTTGACTGTAACTAATGACATTGGTGTCTTCTCTTTTCAGCATTTTTCTGAAAGAACTAGAGAAATATGAACAACTGCCTGAGGATGTGGGCCACTGCTTCGTCACCTGGGTAATGAGGCTGCTTCTTTTCATGATTTATTAAAATTAGTTCCTCTAGCACAATGGAAACAGGCTGGGAATTGGTGCAAGGGTTACATCCTTAGTGATAAGGGAGAATAGGAGCTGATCTGGAACTACGATTGCTTTGTTCCTTCACCTTTCCCAGGGTGCAAAGTTCCCTCCCTAAGCAGTGGGGTAAAGGCTTTCCAGAGCCTCTGTCCTGGTCCTGCACTGACCAGCACAGCTTTTATCTCTGCTGGTTCCTGTTTAACAGGACTTTGTCAAACCAAACCTGCATTTACAGGTGGCATTCATTTCCGTGTGAAAGGCACTTGAAGGATGGACATTTTAATTCTTAAAATACCCTTCATAGAGAATTTTAGTTTTATTGGGAGACCTCTACAAAGACATGAGCAACATATTTTATCAATATTTTTCTTCAGAAATTAGCATTCAATTGCTGAACCCCTATGCTCTCTCATTCCATTACCCAATGCCAGCATCATTTCCAACAGGATTTGGAAATCTTGATACTAAGAGTCTTCATGGGCATGGGAGGCTCCAGGAATTTGCTACAGTCGTTTATCTGTATGAAAGCTTTTCCCTTACCAAAAGATTTACTACAGAATTCAGCCATCTTCATGTTTCCTCTAATGGCTTTGCTCATATTTAATAGCTGGGAATTAGTATTTTGCAACATTTTCACTTACAAAAAAGAATTTAAAAATTAGCATGTTTGGATGGGATTTTAATTTAAAGACGTGACACAAATATTGGTGGAATGGATTAAAAATATTGTTTACGAAGAAAAAGTTACATATTTATGAAAGATGGACCTATTTAGGTACTTTTCTGTGCAAAATCTTCTTGGTACTTTTAAGATACTACCACATCATCTCAACAGTAGTACCTGTCCAGAGCTGTGTGTATGGTTACAGACACACATACAAAGGTACCTGCTCAATTGTAGGGTCCTGTTATTTAGACACCTGGCATAAAAAATGCAATAGAAGGCCATCCTCCTCTTCTGTTTGCCTGCCTCTTCCTGAGACCAGAGTTGAGTAACAGGAAACTGTTCTAAGGCAGGAGTGCACAGATGCTTTGAATTTCCTCTTAAAAATGAATAAATTAGGAAATGAAATCCAAAATGCTCCTAGCACAACATAAAGTTTGAGCCATTAAAGTCAGAACCAAGGTAGGAAAAGCAAGTTTGGGCCAGGTGTCACAAATCTGAGCCAATCTCAAGTCAAAAATGTTAGCTCAAGACAATTTAAGCCAGGTGATTGTTTTGCCCATGGTTTCTACACTGGCTTTATCTGCAAGTAGGTGTTAGAGCCAAGTTTTCATGCCCAGGTTTTGATACCTGCAGATTTTTGGTAAAATTAGTGCAACACCATTAGAGTGCTTAGAGATTATTTTATAGCTGTATCAAAGTTTTAGGTCTTTCCTCTGTGACACTTGTTAAAGAAGGCCTCCATAGCTGTTAGATGGTGCACCTCATTCCTCTCTGAACTGCTCAGGTGAGGTATGGTCTGTAAGTCTTCTGTGCTTAATTTGCAATTCGTGCATTGCTTTAAGAGGTGGGGGTTTACCACCTGTATTTTTCCTGGTAAGCCTTATTGAAAGACTGTGCAAGCAGAGAAATAGCTAATCTTACTTTTCCCTTGATGTTTGTTTTTACAGGCAGATAAATTTCAGATGTATGTCACCTACTGCAAAAACAAGCCTGACTCCAACCAGCTCATCCTGGAACATGCAGGGACTTTCTTTGATGTAAGCAACCATTTTCATTTTCCTTCAGCACACGTAGTGCGGCAGAAACACCTCCTCTTTAGATCTGAGAAATGGGTTCCTTTTTGTACTTTGGCATTTGGGTGTTTTATTCCACTGCAGATATCACATGCTGTGAAAACTGATAGGCTGTGGTATGATGTGTGATCTTCAGCAGTGTGGCAAGTAATTTTTTATGGAGATATACATTCTTGTGGGAACCTCTGTGCATTTTTCAGACCCAGTCTTTCTAAAGATCTGGTTTAGATGTACTCTCCACTTCTGGGCTTAGTGGTAAAATGAAAAGCAGATCCTGTTATGTGTTAGGGCCTGAAATCCCTAAGTCCAAAACAAGATCCAAATTTTATCCACCCTATTAAACATTTGCTTATTCATGCTAGAAACAGACTCCATTGACTTCAATTAGACTATTTCCCTTGCAAGCACTACACCTGGTGATAAACATTTCCAGGCTCCAAACCCAATTTTGTAGGCTGAGACAAATTTTTAAAGTTTTTTAATACTTCCAAACTAAGTTTTCTTTCTGACCTTTGGAACCTCATTTATTTTGCCATGTTTGTTAACTTGCAGCTTAGTTGCCTTCCTGAAAAATGGTGAGACCTCTTTTCTGAAGCAGTGAAAATCTTTTTACAAATGTCACCACTCCAAGGGTTCCAAGATGCCTGGCATGAATCAGCTCCTCAAGGTTCCACATGTGCCAATGCTTATAGCATTCCAGTGAAATTTAACACCATAAGATCTCACTTGAGACTTAAGTGATGAACACCCTTTTCTTTTGCTTCGTTTTTCCCTTGTTACCAAATGGTCTAAAAGTAGATTTGAACTAAAAGGGATTTTCCAGGAGGTGGCGCTTGAGCCTATTTAATGGTTTGTACTGGTTAGTGACTCGAGAAGGGTTTGAGCTGCCTTGGTCTTGTTTGCACAGGTTCAAAGCATTTCCTCTGCCAAGTTTTTTCCACTCCAACTCTGTATATGGCCTAGAAACCTGCCTGATGTTACTTAACAGAGGATATTCATGTGTTAGCACCTGCTTTTTTGCAAGGCGAGATGTTTTCCTTCTACTGATGGGAATTGTGCTGGGCTACACAGTGATGCCTGTACAAAAAGGGAAAGTTGATTATCCCCCCAGAAAAATGCACTAGGAGTCACTCCATCTGACTAAGATAATACGAAGTTCCTGTAGATCCTTCTTATCTTGATCTTGGAGTGGCAGTGGTTAAGTAGCAGGACAAGGGGCAGAGGAAATGGCTGGTTCTTTTATTCTAGGAAGAACCTGGAATTTCTTAAAACACCCTGATGATGAGCATGAGTTACCTAGAATAACACTTCTTAGTAAGAAGCCTGATGGAAGATCTCAAATGTAAAACCCCATAAATGTCATAAACCATCCCAGAAAGACACCTTTGAAATGAAAACAAGTAGTCCAAATCATCTGTCTGAACCCTTCAAGTTCATGGAAAATTTGCAGATTCGAGGCTCATTGCAAAGGCTTTAGCTGGTAGAAATCAACATATTATTGAAGATCTAGAGTTGACTTCAGTGTCTGTTATTTAAGCAACCTTTGGTCCTTAGCACAAAGACAGAATTTGGTTGTCATCTATGGCTTCTGCCATTTTGAATAATTTCCTTTAAAATTTGAAAAGTTAATCTATTCACTTGTTACATTCAAGAAGCCACAAGGTGCCTTCAATTTACATCACCAGCATTTACAAAGTCAAACATGGTAAAGCTCATTGACTTTGGAAGCATTGCAGAACACTGTTTCTGCATGGATGATGGTTCTTGGACAGTTTCTCACTGAGCTAGAGCATCCTTTAGGAAGTGGACAGAGGAGCAGGGTCTGTTTCTCCTTAGTAATTATTTTCTGAAATAATTTACCAAAGATTTGTCTCTTGTACTACAAAACCTAAATGTTTTCTGAGGTTTTTAGTACTGAATCAGTCTACTCAGCAATCCCTTGGTGTTTACACCCAGTTCAGGATGCAGCTTGTCCCACTAAACAACTGTACACAATGAGATGACTTACTTTGTGAATCTCTTCAGACATTTGGTATAAAATCTGGGCATTTTATCACTGCCTTATGGTAAAATCAGCAATTCTTATGGTATGATATTGTGGACAAGTATTCCTTTCTCCATCTTGTCTATCCAAGGTGGGGTCCTGTGCTACCCTATGCAGAGGATGTTTTTGGTGTTTTTCTGGGATTCTATCACTGCATGTAAGACTACATGTTGTTCCTGTTCTGCAGCTCAGCTAGTTTGCAACACACAACTGCCAGCACATGGTGCCTGTCAGACACTTTAATTTCTTCCAAGCTCTTAGGACGCTTTTCCACCCAAGGAGTAACTAAAGTTGTGTCTAATGGTGAGCCATGGTGCACTGTAACATGAAGCAACCTTGCTTTACACAAGAAGCAGGGCAAAATAGAGATCACAGGGCCCTGTGGCTGGATTGCTTGTAAAGCCTGCCAGCTGTTTCAAAGCTAGGTCAGATATCTCTCCAGTTCATGTTACTTAGAGGTGTGTAAGAAATGTCTGCACTACCACGCTCTACCCTGCACAGACCTCTCCAATTTCCACCTCCACCCACAGTAAGTTCAGACGTCTCCAGTTGCTACAAAGCCACCCCAAGACACGCTCTTGCAGGCTGCCATCTTACTCCAAGCTTCAGAGACCAGAGGGAGGTGCTGCAGGGAAAAGGTCCCTTTCCAGCAGCGTATTTTTCTGATTGCCATGTAGCAGTGCTGTTGCTTCCCTGCTGCTGGTTCCTGTGACAGTTGTCACCCCACCAACATACTCTGTCTCTGCAGTGCCTGACTGGGGAGCATCCTGGCAGAGCAAGGAATGACTGATGGGGAGGCTTCTTGCTGGGAACATGCTCTGCTGTTCAGAGAGCTGAGAGGAAGGAATATGGCTAAATTCATTTCTTGGATCAAATAAAAATGAGTGTGCTTAGCCAGCTCCAGGAAGTTCACAGACATGGTCGAGGTCTCACTGGCTCCCACAGTTACTAATTGAGTCCCAGGCATGTGCTCTGCAGACACTGCCCTGTTTGGAGCCAGCCATGACTCAGCCTTCTGTTAACTCCATTAACCCCCACACAGAGCCCATTTCTCTTTTTGGTTTTGTTCATGGCACCAGAGATTCTTTTTCCCAAAACAAGCTTATCTAGGAAAAACCAAAAGAAACACGAAACACCAAAACAACAACAAAAACCCAATGAAAACAAAAAGAACCAAGCCTTTTGGCACATTGTGTGAAAAGTGGCTATTTTTTGTCTCAGCATAAAGATAAGTACTGGAGCTAAAAAACTCAGTAACCTCCCTAGTACTCAGCAGAAAATCAGACCGTATACAGAAAGAAAATCTCCATTCTTGGTAGCTCTTTCCATTTAATCTTCATAGCTTCTGTAGCCTCAAATTTACCACCCAGTAGCTGGAGATAAGCCCTGTTGCCCCTCCTCATCTGGTTCCTTAGGAACCTAGGATTTCCTGCAAGGGGAGGTATGGCCAGGGCCTGGCAGAGATAGAAGGAATTCCAAGCTGTTCTATTTCAGCAGAGAATCTTGCCCTGTAGGGGATAAGTTTGAAGTCTTTTACATGGCTAAATCTGTGCATTAGAGTCCTGTAGGATTTTCAGGAGCTCCTAAATCTCACTGGAACCAGTTGAAGGGAGGCATCTGGGCCCTTTGCAGACCTCACCAGGTGCCTATCTGCAGTGTCTCCAGAAGTTAATGAGCAAATCAGACTGATCAGCACAGGCATTTTGGTTGAGATTCAGGTGACAAAACAGAAGTATTAGGGCTGTGAAAGGTATAATAAGAGTATCTCTCCTGGCCCCCAGATGCCACCTCAGAATAATGTAAGTATGTCAGCACTGTGTCAGACCTGTTGCTCCCATGTGGATATTTCAGCTACCCCAGGGCTCTCAAACAGTACTAGATGCTTATGTTTAGACAGTTAAATTACACCCTACGCATGCAATTTAATTTAATGTCACTCCATTTTAATTGAATGTTAAGACTCTGCTTTCAGCCTTCATAGCTAGGAGGAACCAGTTGAGATGACAGATAAGTCGTATTTAAATCAAAATGTGTGTAGTTTACTCAACATAGCCCTAGCTTGACTTGCACAGGGGCCCTGCAGCTTAAGTGGCTTGAGAGGGACTCTGCAGGGACTCTGCCAGCCTTTCTGAAGCCAGTTATTTGCATGTGAACCCAAAGAGAGTTAAACTAAAAAAAGAAGTGCAGAGATCTAGAGCTAAAATTAGTTAGGAGTGATTCTGCCAGGCAGGGGGTTAACAGTTTTCCATGACTGACTGCTGGTTTATTCTCTTCTAGGAAATTCAGCAAAGGCACGGTCTGGCCAACTCTATCTCTTCTTATTTAATCAAGCCTGTCCAGAGGATCACAAAATACCAACTCCTACTGAAGGTACTTTAGTGAGCTGCCCAAATCTGCCCATGCAGAGCAGTTCCCAGGTGTGATGAGTCAACTTATTCTTTAGGGAGCTGCTTGTTCATGATCTCTAAGCAGCAACTGTTGAGCTGCTACTCCTACTGCTCAAGCTGAACATGGCAACAAAGCGTGAAATCAGGTCGAATGCTTTAAAGGAAAAGACTCATAGAAAGGGGGGAAAAAAACAAACACAGTAAAAAATTAAGCACCTTTTTCAACCAGGGTTTATTTGTATCCAAGTGGACTTAACCCTAAAAAGCAAGAAGAGTGAAAGGAAAATTGAAGGGATGACAGAATTGTTTGTTTGCTTTTGCTAAGTTTGTGACATGTACTAATTTGATTAAAGGCTTCAGTGACAGCAGTAATGAACTTTGGGAAATTTCACTGACTCTTGATTGAGACTCCTTCACTGGTGTTAGATTGCATTCAGGAGCTGACACTTTTGTGTTTGAAAAGCAGGGAAAAGCTTCATATACAAAGCAAAGGATTCCAAGTGAAACATTAATATATCCTATTAAAAAAAAATAAAAATTACTTTGTGGGTCTGTTGTAAATTGGTTACAGGTTTTTGCAGTACCTTGTGAGTAGGTGAATTTTAGATCCAACTTAGCCAGCCACTGTACACTTCAAAACTAGTAAGCCAGAGAAGAAACAATAACCAGGAAATAAGGCAAGAAACAGATTCTGATTTTGAAAGACTAGGACCAGATATTGCAGCTCTTTAAATCTTTCTGTGTATATACCAAAGGACTGATGTGCTGCACTAGGAAGGTATTTAACACATTCAACACATTTAATGTGTTGACAAATCTGTGCTTTGTACCAGTTTACTGAAACAACACCCAGGTTTACTGATGTCTTCCAAGTGCTGTGGCACAGCCAGCTTGCGCTGCACAAACCATCTGGTAACGGGAGAGCTGAAACACCACTTTGGGCTCCTCCTCAGGTGAACCTTTCCTGAAGGGACCTCCCTCCCTACCCTAGGCACAGTGAGCCTTGCCAGCACTCACTGGTACTGCTGGATGAAGCCAGGGTCCCTGCAGCCTGGGTGGCACAGCTGGACTGGCTGATACCTGCTGCAGAGGCATAAGTCGGCAGAAACCTTTGGGGTGCACAGCGTTACTCAAGGGCACCTTGATTTGTCTTGCTTTATAGTCATTCCACTGTCTGTGAGCATCCACAGCAGATTTTGATGCAGTCCAGCTTTCTCCTGTCACTGTTAGAGAAGCAGTTGTGTCTACCAAGTAACACAGTCAGATACAAAAGCCAGCATGTTGGTCAGTCTGTTTATAGCTGTTCTGCGTTGCTTCTTAGGAACTTCTAACCTGCTGCGAGGAGGGAAAAGGAGAACTCAAAGATGGCCTGGAAGTGATGCTCAGTGTCCCAAAGAAGGCCAACGATGCAATGCACGTCAGCATGCTGGAAGGTAGCAGATGGGCAGGTGGCTGGGGCAGGGGAGGGACCCCCCAGTCAGCAGCACCTTCTTATAACTTATACACAGTTAGCACAGGTTGGCTGTAGCAGTGCTGTTGATTGGCCATAATTTTTAGGTACTTCCTAGCTCCTTTCTGGTCTTTCTTTAAAAGTCTGGTAAGAATAATCCTGGCCAGGAAGTTTTGGGTGTTTATTTATATCTTATGCATATATATATGTATTTATATGAATATATATATATATTTATATGAATATATATACATATATATATCTGTGTGTCTGTATACATATACAATGTATGGATGTATATATATATTTAGTTAAAACAGTCTCACTTAATGAAACCAACAGAAACAGAAACCTGTGTGAAACAGTATCATTTTTAGCTTCTGGCAGCCATAGCAATTATTGGAGGAAAACATTTCTAAATACTGTCTCAACATTTCAAAATAAAAAGTTCTGATTGTCTGAGTCCAAACAGCTTCTGTTTCAAAATGTTAGTAAAATTATCTTAGAGATTTATCTTTTTTTTTAAAGTATTATTATTTAAAACTATATATATAAGAAATAATTGTATTGCCTCAAAGTTAAGTCTTTTATTGGCTTTTTGATATTTGAAGTATTCCTAAGATGGTGCCAGTAGTTAAACAGCACATTAAGACCAGGTGATTAAAATTGCAGGGTGACAAACTGACCCAGCATAGGTAGAAACACTATAAAGATGGTTTTAGCTGTGGTGTCTGGTAAAAAGCAAGGTTTCCCAAAATAATACCTGGATAATCTGTCCCCATGAGATGACCAGCACCGTGCAATAATAAAGAAGCAAGATGACTTTGTTAGGGCAGACAAGCACTTGGACAGTTGTCTTCTGAATAAATCATTATTCCTCAATATTTGGAGCAGGAGCCAGGGCTGCTTGCTGCTCTCCTAGGGCTGTTTGGTGTGAGCACAGCAGCTTGGAGGGCACCTTGCACTAAGGACTCCCTTTTCCCCCAAACCTGGCAGTTCTGTGGAGGGGTTCCTGCAATCTTAAGCCATGTGGGGGTTTCTGACATGCAGCTTGGAAGATGAGAAACTCCTCCTAGAGAGGTGGTCTCACACACCATACCAATTCTCTCTCATAGATTTAGCTCCCCCATGCCACTAGTGTGAAGTCACAGGCCCCTGAAGGTTGGGTTACCGTGCTTGAAAGCACCATGGTGTGATGGGGCACTTCAGCTGCCACACGTTGTGTTTGAATTTGAATTGACGTGCATGAAGTTTCTTGCATTACAGTTCTCTGCACAGTAACTAAAGCTTTTATAATTTTTATCTTTAACTACTCACTCACTTTACTCACTACTCACTTTAGCAGCAGTGTCATTTAGTACATATGACACATTTGCCTCTGGTGAATTAATCATTGCAGTACGGAACAAAAAAAGTGTTTTCACTAGAGCAATAGTTGCCCATTAATGTCCTTTCCAAATATACATAAAAAAGGAGAAAGACCCTTTTATTCCAAGTCCTTACTGCTCTGATGTTTCTGGGAATTACTGGTCCCAAGAACAAATACAAGCCAATGTATTTTGTGGTTTTAGGGTTTGATGAGAACCTGGACGTCCAGGGAGAGCTGATTCTTCAGGATTCCTTCCAAGTGTGGGATCCCAAGTCTCTCATTCGGAAAGGCCGTGAGAGGCATTTGTTTCTCTTTGAAATCTCTTTGGTGTTTAGCAAAGAGATCAAAGATTCTTCAGGACACACAAAATATGTTTACAAGAACAAGTTACTGGTAGGTGTGGCTGCAAAGAAAATATTCTGGGTGTTGTGTTTCTTGTAGGTAGAGGTGGAGTTTGGGGGATACTCATGTCCCCATGCTGACTGGGGATACTGATGCCACCTGGAAGGGCTGGCTCTGGGCCCTGTGGGGCTCAACTGGAAGCCAAGCTTGAAGTGAGTCTGGAGAGGTTTAAAATAATGAGATATGAAAGGTGGGTGGAAAATGCAAGGAGGATCACTCAAGCCATTCACTTCCTTGCCATACCCTGGTGGTTTTCTGTTTCTTTTATTTGTGTGTAGCAAAACAGATACAAGATTTTACTCCTCTATCCACCCCTGCCTCCCCCGTTCTCCCTACAAATATAAAGTTTTCTAGACTATTGAGGCTTCATATATATGAAATCTCTCATCATCTCTCCTCCACTAGACCTCAGAACTGGGAGTGACTGAACACGTTGAAGGAGATCCATGTAAATTTGCTTTGTGGTCTGGACGAACACCATCCTCAGACAATAAAACAGTGCTGAAAGTAAGTCTTTTCTGCTTGTTTTCTTTGCCTTTAGAGCTGCTAGTTGAGGCCTTGGGAGCACTAAAAGAAAGGTCAGTTTCTTCCTTCCTCGTATTTGCATGGTTTCCATGTCTGTCAGCAGGGCCATGCCTGCAATTCAGCTCTAAGGCCTCAGTATGAATCAAGACAGTGCAGTAGTGCAGCCTTGCTGAAATTGCACCTCCTCTTGCAACCTGGGTTGGGCTGCACACTGACACAGGGTACATCTCTGGGCATTTGGCTGGGAGGTGTAATTCTCTAAGTCTTTTGCCACTGGACTTACCAACAATCAACCTATTCCTCAAACCTCCAGAGCTGACAGCCATTTCTGTCAAGTGAGTTTCTAAAGAAGAAATCATGTTGTAATTCTCTTGCCTGAGGAAATCCCAGCTGTGCACTGATAACCTATTTCCCCTCCACAGAGCGTGCTGTATTGCTAGCACTAAGTACATTTATCCAGGACTTAGCTGCTTTACTGTTGCTTGCCAAGTACATTTGGTAAAAATACCTCCGTTCTCCTGGGGTTACCAGGTGCTCCAGCAGTTAAAACAGTACAGCAGAGAGGAGAAACAATGAATCATGCATTTTCATCAGCCAACCACGATTCTTCTACATAGGAGGTGAGACGCTGGGAATATGATAAAGTGTCTGTCTTTCTACCTTGTGGAACTTTAGGCATCCAGCATTGAAACAAAACAGGAATGGATCAAAAATATCCGGGAAGTCATTCAAGAAAGGATTATCCATCTGAAAGGAGCTCTGAAGGAGCCAATTCAGCTCCCCAAGACACCAGCAAAGCAGCGAAACAACAGCAGAAGGTACCCTCAGTCATTCCATACAATGTGAAATCACTAGTGTTTTCTCAACCAACAGCAGTGGAGTGGCTGGTTGTTTTTTTTCACAGAAAGAGTGGTTAGACACTGGAATAGGCTGCCCAGGGAGGTGGTTGAGTCACCATCCCTGGGTGTGTTTAAGGGCTGTTTGGATGTGGTGTTGGTGGAGATGGTTTAAGGGAGAACTTTGTAGAGTAGGGATGATGGTTGGACTCAGTGACCCCAAGGGGCTTTTCCAACCTGAATGGTTCTATGATTCTATGGTTCTTTTCTATGATACACATACAAAGGTCTTTTATTGTAGTACTTTAAAGTATTGGAGAGAAAAGGACAGTAAAAATTCTTCACAGTCCAAGGTGATATTTCTTTCCCAAAGTAGAATTTACTTCATTGCGTTTGAGTATTAACAGATTATTTTTTTTCTTCTGCTTGTCATTTTGAATTGTTGGGCAATGAAAATCACAGCTGGTCATGATAATGCATTATTCCAATGGAGAATCTGTGTTTCATCATCAAATAAAAACTCATTTTAGCCTTTGAAGTAACATTAGTTTTTCTGTCAACTTACTTGAATTCTAGATTAAACAGAAATTATAGAAAATTAATTGTTCTTCTGCTGTCATGCTGGCATTTTGAAAAGCCACCTGTAATCTGAGCATCTCCATTTAATCCTCATCAAGTTTTATCACATTCTTACTTCAGGCTGTATTATAGAGGTATCCAAAGCATGAGTAACCAAGGTCACCCAGGAGATCTGTAGCAAGTCAAAGGTCCAGACATTTTCTTCCTGGGGCCATGCACCAATACAAGAGTTTTTAAGTACATTACAGGAATCTTAATTTTTTTCCTTTGTCTTTAAATATGTATTTTGTGTTATTTAAATGTTTATTTTGGCAGACCAGTAAAACTTCAGGAGAACTATATCTATATAGCAAAAGACATGAAAACACCTTCTGTTAGCACACTCACATGGGTAGATTCATAGAGCTCTACACTGTCTTTATATATGTTTGTTTGGATACAACTTTTATGGCTCAGTATTAAATCCTTGAAGTGTGGTTCTATGAAACAAGAGAAATATACTTTCCTTCAGTGTCACATGTAGCCTGGGGTGAATGGCTTTGGTTAAGGCAAAACTCCAGCTGAAGGAAAGTTTCTGCCTGTCACCCTCATTACAGCACTATTTCTGAACACCAGAGCCTACTATGCTGTAAATATGCAGGCAGCAGCCATCCTGTTTTCAGCAAGAAACACTGTGATTATGTGCTAATACCAACCCTGTATCTAAGGGTGACATAATTTTAAATTGCAAGCTACATCAGCAACGTGGGCTGCGTCAGTGAGGTAATTTTAGCACAAAGCTGGCCCTGACATGCTGACTCAGCACTTCCCAAGTCCACCATAATTGTGGATCCAAAATCCAAAATTGTGCATGTTCCAAGGTGGTGGGTTAAGTAAGCATTGTTGTTTCCCTGTTATGTCTCTTGCAGGGATGGAATAGATGACGCAGACAGCCAAGGAGATGGCAGCAGCCAACCTGACACCATTTCCATTGCATCCAGGACATCACAGAACACAGTGGACAGTGACAAGGTAGGACTGAAATGTGAAAATACACTGCAGCTAATTGCCCCCAGAAAAATGTAAGTGAAGAGCAGAAAAGGCAAAATAAAGCAACCTGTCTTCTACTGAGTGAGTCAAAGCTTGTATCTCCCTGTGCTAGGCTATTCGAATCCAGCCTCTTTCTAGGTGCTTGTCAGTACTACTGTTTTACATGGTAACATCTCTGTTCCTGCAGCTTCTTTGTGGTTAATACACAGAGGTTGAATTGGCTCTGAAGAAACACAGCCCAGAGCAGCTTTTTCTCCTCTGGTAGAACTTGCCCTGTGGGAGACAGCTTCTGAATCAGCCAAGAGTTGGTTATGTTCTGAATTTGCCCTCAGCTAAAATCAGTAGTTTGTTGAAGGGAATACAGGTGTTTGCTCACCAATTAATACTGAAAAATTGGGATCCTGGCTGATATCTAGAGAGCCTGGGAGACCTACCCTTTCCAGAGACTGTGATTCTGGACTCCTCTCCTCATGGACATATGGTGGAGCATATGGATGCCCCCAAGATAAGCTAGATGCTGTTGGAATGCTGCACACTATCAGCACATATGTACTGGCCGTTTTACTTATCAAACAGTATGAGTCCAGATTCCCAGCTCCACTAGTATGGCTGACTTGCATTTGTCACCCTGATACCTCCAACTGTGGTGTTCAGCTGAAACAGCAGTTGGTGGTGGGAGTAAATGGGCTGTTAGTAATCATTTACCTTACCAGCGCTGTTGGGGTTTGTCATACCCACCAAGAGAACATCCGTATTCCCTGCGTGTGTTGTTTTGAAATGGTGTGTTAACTTGCAAAAGGATTAATTCTGCAGAACTGTTAAGAATTCATTAGTTTGTCAGGGATTTAATTATGCTGCCATTTGCACAAGGAAAAAGGGTGTCTTCAGAAATTCAGAACTCAAGCTTATGGTTGTAAAATTCGTAAGAAAGGTTCAGTGCAGACATTATTTTGAAAGCTGGACTCAGAGGAGTTAACTACAAATCAATCAAGTTTGTAAGAACACCTCTTGTGTTTCTCTTAAAGGCCTTTTCCCATGCTTCTGCTTTTTTGACCAATAATATGCATTGGAAAAGTATTAATCCTCACAATCCAAAGGCCACTGTAATGTATGCAAATACTTTGCCCAATGCTGAAGAAGATGTCTTCAATCCACAAGGACTTGCCCTGCTTTTCCGTGTTTTTCACATTTATCATTCCTGAGAAAGGCCCTGACTTAGCTGAGTGCTTGAGCTCATGCTTAATTTTAAGCATTCACATAAGCTTTGCTCGTTTGCTCCAAGCTCATTGACTCAGTTGCATGAGTTATGGTAGACAAGCAAGGTCTAGGTAAGCTGCTCCATATTGCATGTCGTGGCTGCATATAAGATCTATGGTGCTGACAGGCTGGAACAATCAGGCTGTACCCTGAAAGACAACCCAGCATGGCAATATTTGGTTTAAGGATGCAAGACTAGAAAGGAATTTCTATCCCAAACCTTGTTTGAGCGAATGGCAAATGTGTATGAGAGAAATTGAGCACTAAATCATACAAGGAAAAAAATGGTTACCACTGGGGAAAGGCTAAATCAGTTCTAGGATCATTACATGTTTGTTTGCTTTTTTTAAGGTGGGTAGGTTCACTTGCTTACTTAAGGCTATTTGTGTGTTTGTGTGTTCTTCTATACATTAAATGGATAGAAAAAAAATTTCCAGTGTATTGCTGAAGCTTAAGTGTATGTCTTTTGTGGAATCTGAGCAACTAGAGTATCATCCTTAGGGAGGCAGTTCCTGCTAGACAGTTTCCTTATTGCCAGTGATGCTGATGCAATAATACTGTGGAGAATTTAGCCCCTGGAGTGCTGCATTACTGTGACTTTGCTGCAAGGAAAATTAACTCACCACATCACTTCATAGTTCTCTCTCAGTTTTTGTATACAATCTTACCCAAATTAACAAGAGATGGAGCTGAGTTGTCTCACTTGCCGTTGAAGCAGCACGGAGGGGCACCTGCCTTCAGCCTCAGCTCAGACATTGGTTCTTAGGCTGCTTGCACAAAGCCCTTACCAGGTGTTAACCTCTGCTGTGAGGGGACTCTGGGTTAGCAGATCCCAAAGCTGTGCAAGGACCTAACGAGTCACAAGACTCTCAGTGGTGACGTTTCACCACATGGAAACAATTCCTTGTCATTCCAAGTTATTTTACTCTCCAACTTTGAAATGGTTTTTTTCCATCAGGGTGTTTATCTTCTAGGATAGTCTGAGTGGATGTTGTTGGACTGGGAAGATTTATCATCTCGCATAGATTGGTGCTGAGTTACCAGCACTGGAAGACTGTACCATATCATGCTCTCTAGCTAAGGTTTCTTGGCACAGTTGGTAGCACTTGGTAAACACTGTAACATACATGCTGTCATTAAGTCACTTGGTACTGAGGCCAGCACTGGTAAGTGATGTGTTCAGCAGGTAGTGTTTTCTTTACCTATTTAACTTCAGCATACTCAGCAGTTATTCCCAGGATTTCAAAGACAGGCTATTTTTTCACAGGTGTAGCGTCTGTGAATGACCTCTCTTTGTGCCTCAGTGAGATCTCCATCTGAAGAAGCCAGGAGGAAGAGCTCCTCCTGCCTTTAAAAGCTGTGGTTCTTCACAGCAGCCTCATTTACAAACACGTGCAAAGACTTTGCAGTGCTAGCAGTGTGCCAGGATGGTCCCTGCGCTGGGAGTTTCTGTGTATTAATTCAGTGCTAGAAACAATTGTCAAGTAACATTTAAGAGCTGATATTGCTCTCTGAAGGCAAAAGAATTCAAAGATTCAGCTGATGCACTCTGTCCTTAACCTACATCTTGCAGTTACACCTGAGGATTACCCAGCACATTAGCTGAATGTTCAGACAAGAATGCCAAACAACATCTTAGACATAAAAATCTCACAATCTGTCAAAGATTCCTAATTTCAAGTGGCACTTCTGCTAAATAACACGCCTTGTGCCTGAAGTCATATGTATTTCTTTCAACCTATTTGTGAGCCTACTCCTCCTGGGTTGTGAGTCTCCTCTCTCATCCTGGAGCAACCCTAGAGCAAAGCTTTGTCTTTGCATTTCAAACTCCTACAAAGGCAGAAGGTTTTTTGTTGTTAAGTGGGAAAAAGATAACATTGTTGTAAGTTCATCAAGGATTTTACTTTCTCTCAAGACAGCTGAACCTAGCCATAACATACATCAGGGGGATCATTTGGTGCAGATAACAGAGCACTTGACAACAGACCAGAAGAGCTGACTCCTAGTTCTGCTCTGTCACTCCCATGTTGGATGCCATCACAAGTGCCATCTAATGGCACTTTGCACTTTCTTTTTTCCTGCTTGGATAAGGAATTGGGGGTGGAGAGTTGACATGACACAACAGTAATTCTTGCAAACATTACATTTGTAGGTTAATTATAGCATTGCCCTGTGTTGTCTCAACACAGAAGCAGATTCAGAGCCAGTTTTTATACTGAAGGAAATTCACAGTGATCTTTATAGTAGCAAACCCTGCTTTGAGAATATTCCTACTTATATGCCTGACTCCAAAATTGTTATTGAGTATTTAAATATTCAGGCTTTCCTGGCTGCAGGCAGTGGTGACGTGATTATATGAGACTCTGCAGATTAAAGAAGAATAAAATGTCCAAGTCTGTTTAAAAATATATATTTATGTTACTCCTGCCTCTTAAATTAAATGCCTGTTCAAGTAGCTTCTTAAATATGGATCTTAGTCCTGGATAGATTTAATTTTATTGGATTTTTCTCTCAAAAAATATATAAAGGGCTTAAACATTCCATGTTCATTAAATACTATATAGTAAAAACAGACTTCAAGTGAGTTCTGTAGGTCTGCACTTTTGTAAAAGAAAAGAGATAACATAAAATTTTTGGTTTTCCGTTTGAAATCTATGACTTTTTCTAGATACAATCTATAATCTCAAATACTTCATACATTACTTCCAAGCATAAATTAACCTAGAAATTAAGTTTTGAAATGAGAGTGCCAAAGAACAAAGCTCAAAAGCCAAAGATCCCACTCTGACTGTTTACAAATACTCCTCTGAAACTGTTGATCCCATCAGCTGGAGTTCAGCCAGTTGCTTCCAGCAGTGGGAGTTGGAAACCTGACTACAGCAAGTAGGGAGCTCCTGGTTGCTGATGGGTGGCATCATTCCCTACATGTCACTGAGGCAAAAGTCTTCTCCTCACACTAGTGTAAAGCTGAGCGACCAGCCCAGCCCAGTGGATGCCCTGCTCTCCCTCTCACAGGACATGGATCCTGCAAAGAAAACGTGTTTCACGTGGTTTGCATTGATATGAAGGCATAGGCACTTCAGAGTAGGATCCAGTTGCAAATTTTCATTTACACAAAAAAGTGGAACTGGCCCCTTGGAGCACCCTGGCACTGGGACCATGATCCTTACTCCTACCAGCATGGCACGTCACCTCTGCCAGGATCATAAAGCTGATCCCACCAGAGATTCCTCTAGTTTTGGTACTAATAAGCTTCTTTTCTGTGCTCACAGACTAGCCTGTAATAAACAAGCTCCTCTCAAAGGACTTGGGATTTCCATGACTTGGAAAAGCTCAATTAAAAAATGAAAACATTCCCTAGAAAATAATGATGAAATAATAATCTTTCAATGATAATCCCATTGAAATATTGAAATAAGAATATCAACATTAGGAAAATGCTTTTTTTTTTTTTTAAATTATGTCAATATAAAACATTACTTTGTCAAATACAGAAAATGCAGACCTCAGATAACAATGAGAGATATCCCTACATTCAGAGAGAGAGAATTAAAGGAAAGGAAAAATTAAAAACAATACCTTAAAGCAAATGCATACATTATTTTAGCTAACAACATCACTCTTGCTCAGACTGAGCTAACAGTTTAATTTCTGCTTGGGTTATCAGCAAGGGAACTGATTTACCAATCAGAACTAAATACTATATAGCAGCTCTCTGTCTTTCT